ACGTAAGCAATATTACGACGGAATGTTTGAAAAAACTAAAACGGCAGTATATCTATCAAGCAGAGCATCCGGGCCCAGAATGTCCTATACGCCAAGATGCAATTTCTGTTAAATGCAATCATATATACCTATGGCCATCCGATTGATCGTTAATAGCTGTTGCTAGCAGTTTTTCTATTGTTCTCAGACAGAATCGCTCTTCTAATGCGAGGCCAGCTTAGAGTCGCAGGCGCCCCGCAAAAGGTGAATGAAATCATCTCCCAGTTGTATTATCGTAGTGCTTAACAGGGAGACAACGAATAATTTTTAGACGAGGACAAAAGCTTGAAACCTTGAATAACTAAATCGAATGAGATTCCCTTCCAGAAGTTTCCAGTTGAGAAGTTTCCACAGCAAAATAGTCGAAACCTCGAGGTGTTTTTCATCTATCTAAAACAAGCTGAAGTTTTTACCTGGATTTTTCTGAACAAAGCGACATCATGGTCATAATCAAGTCGTGTATATTAGACGCTAAATTCCTGCGGTTCTTCTGAAATATTACTCGAAAACATCTTCTTACATTAAGGCGTTTTTACTGCGCTCTCTGGTAAACAAATTCTTACTTTAAATTTACCTTACAACAAAAGTTTTCAACGCCTATTCCATTTAGTTTGTGCCAAAGTTGAAAAGTTACTGCAGTATTACGGAGCGAGTCACGTATACCGATCACCCTATAGTTAAGGCTTCAGAAGCGGCTTATCCTAGGACCTAACAGAATTCTTCCCTTTCGAGTCTTCTGTCAATTTTTCCTTCAAAATGCTTCAAGCTGCTAGTTGATGCAATTGTTTACTTAGCGAATCACCAACCCTTTCAACTATAGAGTTCTCGTTTAAATTGTAAGTCACTTCGGAGACTCTTAGACTTGGTGACGAGCAAATGCGACAATATGAAAATCAATCTTTTTGCCGTTTGGATCATCTACTTACCACTCGTATTTGAACTCATAGCTAAATTCTCCTCACTGAAGAACGTGGCGACAGCATATCTTCGGAAGAAACAAATCAACCCAAACATTTTAACAGAACAAAAGCATTTTGAAACACACAAGCACAGCACTTCATTAGCACCGAAACAAACAACCGGCGATAGTTTATTTACTTTTTGCGAAGCAGACATTTTTAAATAGCCAAAAAAGGCAAATGATTGGCCTTCATAACCGTCTCGAACTTTAAATAGCCACGATATCAGTTCGATGCCTTGTACCAGCTATTATGGTGCTGGTCAAATATGTTATGATATATATATATATATAAATCAATTTGTTTACAAAGCAAACATGGAAGTTCTCTAAGACTCCAATAAATAAATCCTGGAATAGTTTATTGTTTCCTGCTTTTTTGTCTTAAATGAGAAACCTCTATAATTATTCCTTTCTGATTCTATCTGGGAGTAAACTTCTAGTACCGGCGTTGTTAGATGATACCATAAAGCTCAGTCTAAACGATCAGTTACATGGCCGAGTAGTAGCATAAAAGTGTAAAGCTTACGCCGCAAATAAAGCAATGAGGATTGAACGCGGCCACCCTTACTGCCCGATGTATCAACATCTCCAGCATGTCATCCTCAACGCGAATAGAGTATTGACTGAAATCTGCTGTTATTAAAGACTGAGGTCGAAAGTAAAATAAAAAATTATTATAATAAATCGTTACACGTTAAAGTGACATGAGGACTTTCCACACTTTGCAATGCTATTACACAATTTTGAAAAATATCTCATTTTAAAAATTATATATTTTAATTTAATTAAAAATTTAATGGAGTTATGTACAAAATTATCTACACAGTCCACGGACCAGGTTTAGCCTTCAGGTTTAAGTTTTTGGTTGACGTTACTGCATTCTTAGAATTTTAGGGAATGATAGTTTAATTCTACCATTGCTTTCACGTGTTATATATATGTTCAAAGACCTGAAGTTAGAAAAATTCATCTTGGGCTATGGAGAACGAAGCTAACACAAAATCGATTTCTCTAAAAAAAAGGTAACTACCTAAGAACTACACTAATAAATTCTAAATTTAAAAACAAAAGACTTTAAGACCTACCAAGTACCTGTGGCCAAGTTGTATATATGCTTAAAAAGCTCGCACCAACTTTCTTTAACTTCTGGTTTTAACGTTTAGTGCTCTGAGTGAAATACCACTGATAATTCGGTTCATGAAGCTTCGAAAACCTAGCCATGAAGATGCAAATATCTTTTAAGTTTCAGGCAAAAAAATATTCCCAACTTACAGGTATTTGTAGTAATAGTAGCTACCTATATATATATATATATATATATATATATATATATATATATATATAAACATGTTTTTTACTCAGTTTACAGATTAAGCCTCAGGCTGTCTAGTAAGTAGTCCACATACCGAAGCTAATGTAATGATATATTAATCCGTATCAATAGAACCTTTGATCTAAAGATCTTATATATATATGGAGACTGCCCGCACATATTCCACAGTGAGTCCTAGTTTTATCCTCGGTACCGTTGTAAAACATACCTCTAAACGGCGGTATGCATCAATACTTCAACAAACTGAGTGGTTAAGGAATCCCTGGTATTAAAAACGAAAGAAAGCTGGGGTTGAAAAACCTAATTATCTTAGGTATTCGAGGCTGGGCGCTGGAGGCTACGCCGTTCTCACTTATTAATACAGAGAGCTCTCTAAAGGACGAAAGGTATTTTTTAGGGACGTTGGTAACGACTCGTGCCTTTTTGCAACCAGATATACTACTATATCGTTTTAAATTAAAATTTTTACTGGTCAAAAGATGCACACGAAACCCCATTTCTCCCGAAGATAAGTGGCGTTTGAATTTGCGCATTTGTGGCTCATACAAAGTTTTGTAATTGTATTTGCTTTAACAGCTTTATATCATATAGGTTATTGTGCAATCGGTGTTATCACGAGAGGGTTCAAGAACTGGATGGAAGAGTAAGCATGTGGAAATGAAGTAGTGATTCATAAGTTTTAGATGTATCGAACCTAACCTAAGGGTCTGGAATGACTGAACATCTGTTAGGACATTTTTGAGACGCTTTGAAATGACGCCTCGTAGCTGATAGCACTGTTTCAACGAACAACAATTGAGATAAGATATTTGTTATATATAATACACTCTATTGAGTTCGCCGGCTATATCAAGGATAAGAGAAAGTCCAATCGCGATTGGAGCAACTTCAAGGGGTAGTAGCTTAAGGCTCCGGCAAGTTGTTTTTGCCGTCAATATCCTTAAGGGCTGTCGTCGTCTATTAATCTTGTCCGCTTTTCGTTGGCTAAGACCTAGATAGCCAGGCTCTACCTCGTTGTAACCACGCACTTTTCTCCTGTGTTTCCATCGGTCGGCCAAATGAACGTGTTTTTGCCTCGCGTTTTTCTCCCTGGACGTCGTCAAAGTCTCGCTCGTCGCATCTTGCCTCAAGCTGTGGTGACAAGATAGTAAGTGCACGAGCATCAACATTAGCAGCAGGATATGGCCGGCGGCCTTTGTGTGCTCGCCAAAGCTCTGCATCGAAAAACGACGACGATGTACCTTCGTTATGGTATCTTACTTGCCTGTTCGAATAGTGGGTAACAAAAGGAAACGAAGGTAAGCAATTGAATTGGGTCTTCCATTCTCGTTTATCTCCGCTGGCAGTCGGATTTGACGACGCAACAAGTTTCCAGCTGATTAAATGATTTATGCATTCGTGTCGGGAAATAAGCAAGGACGAGCGATGGCGACATTACGGTCCTTGTTCGTAGTCAATATTTAGACACAGTTTCTGCGGCAGGCGACAGAAATTGATGGAATATGCTGTCAAGACGGACTAATTCTGACAGTGGTCACGAATTGCTAATGGTGCCACTCGGTCTGCTTATTCCTTATCTTTGTACACAATGTGGAGAAGCAAGCGAACGATAGCAAGAGTGCGTTCATCCGTGTACTGAAATAGAATACGAGAAACGGGTATCTAATCTGATTTGTATAAAATTATTTTTTGTATAAAGTACAAGTACTAACCTATTGCTTTCCTTTTCTCATTTTTAGCTTAATCGCATTATTTCGAAAGGCTTCGTTTTTCCACAACTATTCAGGCTATTGATACCGTTTTGTCCAGATCACATAAGTCCTCATTCATATGGAAGTGCTGCTTACAAATATAGCAGCTTTCACTTGATTCCCACTTGTCTTCAATACCAAAAAATTTGGGGCTTAATAAATCACTTGTTAACAGGGATCACGGTCTATATAGCCTTCGTTGTAGACACATTACTGACCTATATTAGGCCGGTACGGCCTGAGTGTCTCGATTTCGGTGCAAGACGAACACGAAGTTTTGAAAATGCTTTTTATGCCATTTGATATACGTGCATTAGGACGGCATGTCGTATAACGTAAAGTTCCACAACACGAGCAAATATTTCATGATGTCCATGTAGAGCAATGGTCACAATGGTTTATCACAGATGACTATAACTAAATAAAACCTAGGAGGAAAGCAATCCATAGAAACGGTTATTATTTACGAACCGGTTAAATAATTAAATTAAATAGCTGCTCGTGCTCAACATTGTTAGAGATACTTATATATGTAGTCCATGGCCACGGGGGCTCTATAAGCTTTATAACGATACACGTAGGAATCAGTAATAACAATAGTAATTATTATAGATACTCTTTAGTTCGAATTGTCACTTATCTGGGCCATGCACGAAAGCTGACTGAAGTATTGCATTGACAGAGGTCGTACAAGCCAGGAACAATAGCGTTCTTGGAAAAGTAAACTTGTAGTCTCCTAGTAAAATCTCAAAACATTGCGCGATTGCATAATTCATTCCGGCCTATTTTATATCAGTAAGTTAAGTATGTTTGTTCATGATCATAGTAACGAAGATTTGTTTGTCTTTTAGAATAACTGCGCAGCTAATACAGTTTCAGACTCTACCTTATTTAAAAACAGTGTAATTTTTCTCACTTAGCTTCGTTCAGGGGACATCTCGCGCATGTTCAACGCAGTCTTCGATAATAGTTGACGGTTGCTGGAGGTAGAACTGCCCTTAGCAATATCCGTAAGCGCCTATCGTCGTATATGTAGCACCATGCAGTCGTATCAGCCACCTCTGTTGAGCTGAATGGGTTCGAGCCCGTTTTTATATATATAAGGACAGCGGCTGACCGACCATTCATAGAATACAAAACAATACGAGCAAGCTCGTGTTCACTTGCAGGATACTGTTCCTCCTAGCCAACGACGCCACAACGTAATGGAGAAACAAGTATCTATGCTCCTCCTTTCCTCTTTTATATTGCCAGTGCATGTGGCCTGCTTCAAAATAGCCTCGTCCTTTATTCGCCGACGACAGTTGAACTCCAACAAAGTTCTCACACTACATAGAATCGTCAGATGTGATCCCGTTGAAAAGGCTGTTTTAATTGCGATACAGATATAATAATGATAAAGCCTTGGTCGCCTACACTTTAATAGTATCGATGAAACATATGACGTTGTATGTTAGGGTCTTGAGTGGTGAGTCCACTTGTTAGATAGACGCTTAGGTAATAGATAAACGGTATACCAGGTCGATATTTTAAAAAATCCATAGCCTGAAAACGCGTAGAACGTGAAGTGACAATTGGATTCATCGAGCCTAGACATCACTGCGCGTTCAAAGATATTTCGATTCTGGCCTTCACTGGATATATGTAGCAAAAAAGAAGCTAGCGAGTAAAATTAGAGATCACAATACCACCATTTGAAATAGCGAAGCCACTACTTTCATCGAGTTGTTTTTACTATATAGAAAAGAGCACAGTATTAATTTTTGTGACAATAAGGTATTAGGCTATGTGTCCTTCGTCATTGTTCACGATTTTCTGCCATCTTTTCCTTAAATGATGTGGGTCGTTTCGCCAAAAGGTCATATTCTTAGTTCCTGATCCTCTTGAAGATGAATCCACGAAAGCGATTACCCCATGAACAGCAAAGGTGAAGAGCGGTCGGGGTAAGTTTCGAAGAATACGAAAAACCTAACAGAACTTCCCATTCGATGTCCAAATAAGCAGATTTGGCAACGTTTGTAACGTATGGCTTCGCCTTATTATGCAGCAGCATGACTGGACCTTGTTCATGTTTTTTTCTCTTGAATACCCTGCTTGTCTCGATGCAACTGCGCCAAATATATGTGTAGACCAACTGCCTGGTTTGTCGAAACAAATTATCAGTTCCAAAGGCAAAGTATACCTGTTTCGGACGAAAATCTGTTTGACTCTAGGCATTGGCCTTTCCGATTTCTGACTCATACTGCCGTGCGTACACTGCTTTTCATGGTAACAATTCCACGCGAAAATCGATTATTGTGGCCTCGTGACGCTCGATACCAGCGATATACTGAGCTGAAACACTGAGCCGTAATTCTTTGACGTATTCAAGAAGTTTATGAGATAGCCAAGCACCGAGTTTGTGCGTTAATCCAAGAAACTTAAGGTGGTTAACGCCGGTTGTGTGGTTGAAGTCTATCTTTTTTTAGGCCCAATTCTGGGGTTATTTACCGGCCATCTGCCTCCAATAGTGCCATCAAATGAGATCATCTAACTTCGATTGACCACAGCGAGGGACCATGGTTCTCGATACCATTTCCAAAAACGGAGTACCTTCCTTTAGCAGTCATTCTAGCGACAGAGTCTACTCTGTACACAGGGCAAATGTTCCAAGATGTTTAATCTTAACACCGATAGGCGGTAGAAGTAGTGATTTGCAATCTAGTCCCTCCAGTTAAATTAGCACCTCACGTTTTTTTGCAGCCGTGTCAACGTACATATATAACAGTGTTTAAAACCGCGGCAAGTGTAGTTGGCCAATATGTTTGCTTAGTTTTAGTATCGTAAGAGTCCAATCGTAAACAAATGCTGTACAGATGAGCTGGAGTACAGGAAGCCAGAGATGTGCATACATATACAGCTGTAGTACATAATTCAAATAGAGGTGTATCTCTCCATAGTCTATTACACGTATGCAAACACGAATGCGCTTATACAAAGAAAACAAGGAGTAAGATGGAACGTGCATATGACAAACAGGGACCACTAAAACATTGAATCAATGAAAGCCGTTACGAGTCCCAATTGCTAGCTACAAGTAAACATCTACTGTATGTAGACTACAAGCAGGCACAGATGTAGCGACCCGCGAGCGCCTTTTCGTCTAGAGACGTAGTGCACCTCTATATAGGAAAGGAGGAGGAAAAACGTTTTCTTTTTTTCGAAAATATCTAGCAAAACGGGACCACTGGACGGTTGCTAATGTTAGGGGGAAGAAAAGTCTGTTTTTTTTTGCACTCAAAAAAGCTGAACGAATTCACCCGTGGCATTGCCGGCTAAGCCGATGCCGGCCCAGCCCCCGACCCCCTAGATTTTCAACAGTAAATGGCAAACTAACAGAATACTTGTGCGGGTCATTCTACAAACATCCTTCTGCCACTGCTACATCTATCCACCGACCACTTCTGCGTACTTCTAGTTTAGCTATCACCACCGCTAGCGCCAACTGTATTCGTTCTGTCTCTATTACTTGTACTCTCCGCTGGGAACTGATAACATCTGTTGCTGCAGCTAGATGTTAGACGGAGTAGCGTTCGTCTATGGCACCACTTCATCGATTGGGTTCGTAAGGGTAGCCTTGTAGAAAAAATAACGTAGCGTTGACATTTAGAGGGTTGTCTTGAGAGGGAAGGAAGTGGCTGGCTGACCATCCAAGCAGCATCGACGCGAGGCAGGAAGCGATCAGAGCGACCACACAGCCCGCCGTCACAGTAATTCTGCCATTACCGCTGTTGCACCTGATGCAGCGCTGATGCTTGTGAACAAACAGGACAAACTGTAGGCTGCTGTTTGTTGATCGACGACCAACAACGGGACCCTTTCTATACAAGTGCTGAACGACCGCTTTCCAGTAGTACAGCAGCGACCTACAAATCGTGTTCAAGACGGCAAAGATGATGATGATGAAGACGACAGAGCTGCAGTGGACGAAGCTGGACGAACGGACACGAAAGAAGTTTATGTGACAGCAGCAACAAATGGACGATAACAAAAGAAAAAGGGGAAGGACATTCAAATGCTGCTATGACCTTGTCTGCCTAGAGATCTAATTTGGTTGGTTGAAGGTTTCACTTCCTAATTCATCCACACCATTTGTCTCCTATCCAGCCGATAGGCTTTCGATTGTACAAGGTGGGGCATCTAAACTGAAAATTTGTCTCATTAATTGTTCTTTCAACTGCATCAGGAATTTTTTCTGTATTTGCTAGGGGCCGATATTCCTAATGTTGTTCCATATAATCACTATTCACCGCGACTACTACTTTAACTCAGAACTTTCGCCGTTTGCAGGTTCATTTAAAATTTTTTGCTTTTAGTTCTGCGAACGATAAGGGCGCGACCGAGCAAGTGGACGTTGACTAAACTCTCGCTTAGCAATACACCACGTATAGCTGTCCCGTGAATTCCAACCTAGGTCTTTTGACGGTCATATGTACATATTCCAGAACATGTACACTAACCGTGTAATAGGGAGCACCGTATTTCTAAAAGAGACATAGTCTTTTCTGAGTAATACATATTCTTGGTTGTGGAACAGTTTAGAACATACAGGTTGACTTTTTTAATTATGTGCTCACTTTTTTAGAAGGAACGTAGCGGCACGACGTTGTCTTCAAAGAACATGAACAGAGGCCGGAAATTTACTGCATCATTGTTAATTCTTGCGCCAATGAATTTTTCTTCAACGAAGGATTGAAGCTTCATTTTCGGGATAAGTAACGACATCGACCTAAGCTCTAGCTTTTATTGGCCTAACGGAGGATTATGAAATGTAAAGCGTACTTGAGGTTTTAGTGAATAGTTCGAAACATGGTACGCCTATTTACACCGAACACTTTCACTAACGACCTGATCGAAAGAGGGATTGTCAAAAAAGCACCTCTGAATGGCATCGATTAACCCCGAAGGGCACATTGCTTTTCTGTTTCGTCGATCTTATCCCAACTAAGTATACGTCTGTTGCTTCCAGCACAGCACAGCGGCTTTTGTGGTAACCCAAGATGTTTCTTACGCTTCGCTTAGCGCGACGACATTGGATAGTAGCTTACCTTTGTTCCAATTCCAAAAGCTATATGCTGTCCTCCGCTGCAACGAGTATGTCATTCCTTCTTTAAGACAAATGGCCTTATGCTGATACAAAGGGCTTGTGGTGTTCACCAAAATTCAACGCAGTTTAGATGGCCCGCCCTGAAGATTATACTGAGCCTAAAGCTATTCCGTTATTTGTTTCATAAGTAAGCCTATAAAATTTGCGCGCTAACATTATTCGAATATGCGCAAAAAGTTCTGTTAGGATTTTCGGAGGCGCAAATAGAAAGTGCTTACCACAAAGTTACTTTATGTTAGTATATATATATGTCCTAAGGAATTATATATAATTCTTTAGGGCACACATATTTGTCCAAAAAAGTCATTCCTTGAAATCTCAATAAGGATTGTGTGTTCGCCGGTAGAATAGGCTTTTTACATGCCCGAGCAGGCCGAACTATCTTTTAACTTTTTTCCTATTCATTAAACGGTATTGTGCTCAAAGCGGAAAGTGGATGGAATGCCTACTACTGTTACACAATTTAAGTATTATAGCACCGAACAAAGATATTTCCCCAGATTTTGGGGTTACTTTCTAACGAAAAAGATCAAGGACTGACATTAGAGGCGTGGACTTTTTTTTAGGAACGTCAAATAATATCAATAGAGATTACATCGCTGCTTTTAATAAAGATAGTAAAGGAGAAGAAAGAAAGATTAATTTTAACCGCGCCTTTGGGGGCCTGCGATATAAAAATAGATGAATAAATCTTTCGAAGAAAAATCGGCACAGACCCTTCTGTGTTGGCCTTTAACCGTCTAAATTATTAATCAAAAACACGTTTTTGATTTTGAAACGACACGTTTTTGAAAAAAAAAAACTTCTTTTAATTAGAAAAAGGATGTATCAATTTGTGAAAGATGGACGAGCTGATTACTACTAACAGAATTCGATACAGAGACACTAAACCCTTTGCAGAGTATTCGCTCTATGGCTATGGGGGTGTCATTCGTACAACGAGGGCTTTGATAAAGCTGATTTTTATTATATGTGCAAGTTGCCCAACCACCGGTGAGGCAGTTCTAGCTTAAGCAAATGGTTCATTTGTATCTATCAGTAATGCCGCTAGGAACCAGGAACCTTAATGATCTTGACGTGCATGCACGTACCGATACGTAGTACACTCATTCTATTTTAGTGCGCCAACATCCCCGCATCATTATTACTACGGATTTTCATTTTTTTTTATTAGAAGGTGAATGAATTCTGTTTGGACGACATTGTACATCTATGGATACCCTAAGCCTAATGATCATATATTCAATAAATATTAATGATAAATAGATTAAATAGGTAAATGTTAATTTACATGATTGCCATCTAGTTGTCCCATCGGCCTAGCTTATATCGAGCACTTCAGTTGAGACGAGTCTAGCCGTAGCTGTTTCTAAGGGTTTCAACGCAATGGCAATATTTTTATGGGCATGTTATGACAACATGCGTCACGTAAGTGCAGATATGCATGACACGATATAGGACGATTGTGAGATATGGCAGAAATCGATTTTATTCAACCATTTCAATAGTTCACCGTAGCAGCAGGC